CGCAGGAGTATATGTCTACAAGTAAGCTTTTCACAGGTGTTTCCGGAGGCAGCATTTCAGTATTATTGTTTTAATTTCATAATTTTATTTTTAGAATGTTTTTTAATATTTTTTTAGTATGGCTGTAGGTCCCTTCTTATTAAATAATTTAACGTTTAATATTTTTCATTATATTCTATATTTCGACTCTCCTTGAGAAACTACATATCCATCATTTTCTTTGTTCTATCGTCTATATTATTTTTAGTAGAAATAAAATGTGTGTCAATATCAGTTGTGCAATTATGAGAAGTATTAGAAATTTAAAATTTTAATTTTAAAATAGAAGATCTATTGCTCCAAACCTACACAAATATATAGGTATATATAGTAGTGATATATAGTGAGTTCGAAAGAATTGGTAGCCTTCAGCGGCAGTTTTTGTTAACTGTTTGTATTGTTTCAAACACTGGTGGGACGTGGACATACCAAGAAGTACCACCACATAAAAAAAGTATTCTCGATTCAAGTCTCAGTAATATCGTTATATTAAATTTTGTAACTGGAGACACCGTAAGTCCATATTGTTTTATAATATAACTTTATATAGAAGTACTTTTTTGTTTAGTTAAAGCTTTTTTAATTTTGGCAAATAAGCTAGTACATGGTTCACACTTTCAGACCCAGTTACTTGCATTTCGTAAGTATATAGTGTTTTCAGGTGAGACGCCGTTCAATACGACCTACCAGATACTTCGCGTGACCGGTTTGCAGTAGTAGGTTTTTATTTAGTTTGACTGGTGGACAGTACCCATGGCGATACGTAAGCTTTAATGTGCCTATTGTTTAGTCACATTTATATGCAGTCTAGATTTGTTTGCAACTGACTAGTAGCGACTGTTGGGTCTTTACTTTTAGCCATAATCACTGTGTCATGAACAAAGGTTGCTGTGTACGTTGATAGATTAAGTAGTAAGTCAGCTGTGAACAGTGTGTGTAGGGTTGGACCTAGTATACGCCCTTGTAGCACTTTTATCGGAAATTTCTTTTTTACAGTCTTTTATTTTGACCATGAAATATCGGCTATTGATATAAGAGTTTAATAACGAATAGAAGCTGCATGGATGATGCGATTTCAGTTTGTAGAGCAGTCTGTTGTGCGTTAGCTTGTCAAATGCTTGCATTATGTCGATGTATACTGCAGTGCAGTACTCTTTGCTTTCCAGACCAACTCTTGAAATAAAATAATTGTAACTATCTCTGTCGATTGGGAGAATATTGTTAAGACCACAAATTGCAACAAGTTTTTTCTTTCAGCTATAGATCAAGCTAAAATCGGAAGTTCTAGAGTAGAGTCTGTATATTATGTTTCATCTTTGGCAAAGTTGAAATGGACATTTTAATTGAATTTTGCAGTTTAACGGTTTAAAAACAAATTCAATGCGGTTAGTTGCTCATTACGAACCTTTGTTATTTAATTAATTACTTAATGGCTAACAAAAAATATGTGTACATTTGACGTGTCAAATTTAGCAAATAATTAGTAAAATTGCAATTTATAACATTTCAAATATTTTATAACACTTAATTTTGTTGGTCGACTTTTAACAATTTGATGTGCAATCCACGAAACTGTCTGTGCGGGAACAACTGTTCCGTACATTAGCTTAAATCATCAATGTCAATTTGTCAATCAGCGGCAATTTATTTAATAGGAACTGCAAATCAAGCTGCATCAATATGAGCAATAAACAATAAAATGGAACCAAACAATTGAACGGATGGTTGCATTCGAAACATTGACTTACTAAGCGGAACTGCAGCACGGCAGGAGGGCAGCACGGCAGGAGGGCAGCACTGCAACACGGACTGCCTTGCGCCAACTGCACTTACTAGTTTGCAAACTAGTTGGCTAAATGACATGCAATTTGTTAGCTTAAGTGCGTTTGTTGCATTGTGGTTTCGGCTAATCGCAGCTGCAATAATTAAAACGGTCCTGACAGATCACTGCTAAAATATGCACGTTTACGTAAGTTTAGCCAAAGTTCACTGCCAAGCATTCACACAGCGCCACACGCATCAGCTATGACAGCCGTAATCGGTTATGATTATAATGCATGTAGGGTCCAGAAGCTGCTGCTTCAATTGCCGTTGCCGAACTCGTTGTTTTTCATAATTTAATATTTATTTAAATTATTTATGATTGTTGTGTGATTTCAACTGCGATAGGGACTCAAATTTCCATTTCCATTGCCATTCTCATTCTCATTCTCATTTAATATTTGATATTTTATTTAAAATTTTTAAGTAATACTCGTATAAATATTTTAAATTTATTTTATGGCCCGGAATTTCATGATGCAGTGCTATGGAATGCATTTCGAGGCAAATGAAATTAGGTCAATTTGTGACTGCATTAAAATTTGCATTAAAAAATAAATACTCGCAGTACAAATCCGAAATGTAAACGCAGGCAGGCAAACATTTTAATACTTGGTGGCACTAAATTTGAATAAGTGAGCAGTATTACAAAGTACTCAAACGAGTTTCATGTTATGAAAATAAAATTTAAATCAAATCTAAATTGAATTTGCATTACAGCTGATTTAAAAGTTAGTTCATTGTTTAAGTTTCCAAGCAAATTAAACATTTAAAGCCCTATATATATAAAAGCCCTTCTATATAGCCTATATAGCATCAAATTCCGTTGAAAAACAAACACAATTACAAATTAGACCCGGTGCAAATTAGTGGTAAAAATGAGAGTTGCCACATTATTATTTGAAGCTTGCAAAATATATGTGACTGCATGGAACTAACTCGCCACGAGTTAGTTAGTTAGTTTTCTCAATTATTCTGCCAAGGAGAGGAGTAACACATCATCACATATGGATGATATGGACGTCACAAAAGTGGAAGATCAGATTTGCACAAATTAAATACAAACCACTTCATATGCAATACAGTTTCAATCCTAGACCTTTATGCTAATTACTTTCCTATATTGATCGTACATTAAAAACTTTTTCGTTAATCTACGTATAGACCTCGCTTATGTTAAGTTATGTCTCTGTTTATTGTGATTATCTGTTTTCGATATTAAATTTTTACCATTTGGTTTTGATAGTTACGAATCTGTCTGCGATGCCCCAGTTTTATTCTTATATTTTCATCTCATGGTGTTGTAATATTTTCGATGTACATTTTCCTGATTATTGTTTCCAGTATTGTTCTTTTGGTTTTTCATCTCTTGTATCTAAGTGTTGTCTTCATCTGTATATCTGTATATGCATATGGGATCTCAGATATCATATATTATGCTGAAACAACTCTCAATTCTGTCGTTCATAGTACTAAACTCTTACGTTATTACTGCCAACGTGTCTGCTCATATTTTCGCAGACTTTATCATTAGTCCATTTAACGATACAGTGACGTATATCTAGAATATTACCATGGAATCTAATATCAGTTCTGTAATCTAGAAGAAATTTTATTCACATATTGTGTGTTGTCTCATGAATAGAAGTAACTCTATCGTCTGGGTTTTAAGTTTTAGGTCATGATTATAAAAGCAGGTCTATGTTTTCTGCATTACTTGAGTTAATCTGCGGCACGTATTATCTAAACCAAGTGCAAATATCACTGCGGATATACTACCAGCAAATGCGACTAAAAGTAAATTATTCGGCATCTTTGTTTCTACAAGTGCGTTGTAATTCAGGTTTCAAAGATTAGGTATGAATCCTTGGGCGACACCAGTTTTTATTTGTATTTGTTTTGTACCATTGGGTATCCTGCAGATTAAATCTCGTTATCTAAGGTACCTTTGTATAGTTTTCATTAGGTACCTGTGACTGAGTCCACCAACTATGTCCATCCAATTGACAGTATTAAAAGCATTTCGGACATCGAGAGTTGCTAGGAGAACTATAGCCCACAGAAAAATATTTTATTTAGTTAATAATTGTGAGTACTTTTAATTGTATCTGATATTTTTTTTCGATTATAGGAAATTGTATAACACCTGCTGACACTTATGATACGCATGGCATGAATCGGAGAATATCACTCAGACAGAATATGGGTAAAAATTGTTTACTACAAGTTGCGAAAGTTGTTACTCGAAAAACAAAACCCAATGAAAAAGAATGAAAGAATCACATACAATAAAAATGACTGAAGGAAAGAAACACAAAATTTGATTTTGGAATTCGAAACATTTTAGAAATAAAGTATAAATATATCATCTTCTGATATATTAATATATTTTGTATATATAGAATATATCCAAATTCATATAGAGAAAACCATTTTATGTGACATAATATTAGTAACTTCGCTACAACGTCATCATCGCGGAACCAACAGAACTTATATCTTACAGAGCTATCAGCGCATATTCTATTTAGGGTTTAGTCGTCCTTTACCAAGTTAATTATTTTTTGAATGTCTTTCTTTCGAAAAGCTGTAACTAAGGTAAAATTCTTTAATGAGCAACATTAATAGATTTACGAGGTTTTTATATGTTTTTGAATGGTCTAGGATCTTCTCATCTATGCCATTCAAAAATCCACACTAACCAATCTTGTACTTATGTATAATGAAAAATTAAGATTTAACTGATCTTTTTCCATTTAAGCAGGATGTAACTCCTCAAGTTAGATCACAGTTAGAACTGAATGATCCTTAACTTCCATGTTTGGCCTTCCAATCGAAGGTCATCTTTATTTGTCACAACCTAATAAATTGGGATTTGCAGTTTGGAAAACTTTTGTAGATAAAACCGTCTTCAACTCTTGTACTCTAAGCATGCTGCAGAAAATAAACTATATAAAGATTTCACTTATTGACTTATTTTTCTTATAGGCGACATTTCTGTAAACAGAATTTAGACTTTGATATGATTTACGTGAAAGCAATAAAGTCGATCAAGTAACCTTTGATTTTTTTTTATTAGCTTTCATTCTATAACACTAAATAAATTTTTATTAATTTTATAAACTGTTATATTTCTGTTGCACACATTTTTTGGAAGTTTTTGGGAACCTTAAATCAAAATTCAAAATTTTTATCCGAGAAGTGTAACAATATTTCAAAGTGCATTGAAGGTTCAACAAAATTTCTGGTCATCGCGAAACTTCTAAAACTAAAAACATTCAAAAACTAAAAGTGACAGGCATAAAAACTTTAGTAAAGCCTAATACCAAGTAAAAATACAGACAACGACATCCATAAAGGAAATATAAAAAGTCCTCAAAAATCATTTTTTTTAAACTTGCATTTTTAAAGATGCCCAAAAAGTTGACAGATGCGTCTTCAAAAAACGATTCATATATTGCTCAAAATATAATAACAAAGTTGTTTTATAAAATATTTAGTGGAGCTACAAATAATAATACATCGAAAACAGATAAGAAAGAATTTGAAGATGAGTTACCTATTTTACCTGATTTTTCTGCAGATATAGAAATGAATAAAATGAGTGTAAATAAGGAACAATCTATACATGACGGTCTTCACGATTCTCAAAATATCACAAATAACAAAATTAATGAAAACAAGGAACAGTCATCAAATAACGATCTTCAAGATCTTGGAAATATTTTAATCAAATCTGCAACTGATATGAAGAATGTAAAAATAAGTAAAGACAAGAAACTGTTTACAGATGATGATCTTCACAATCCTGTAAAAGTTTTGATCAAATCTGCAACAGATATGAAGAATGAAAAAATAAGTAAAGATAAAAAACAGTTTACAGATGACGATCTTAATGATCCTGGAAAAGTTTTGATGAAATCTGCAACAGATATGAAAAATGACAAAATAAGTAAAAATAAGGAACAGTCTGTACAGGACGGTCTCCATGAAACCACTTTGATTGACGGTCTACACGGAAATACTACTCCAGATATGAAGAAAAAGTTAAATGAAAATAAAAGACAGGCTATAGTTGATAGATTTCTAAATAGCGGTAATGGTGATCAATCCGCTTTATGCAAAGAACAAAATAGCGATATATCTGAAGTTGAATTTGATTCACATATATCACCAGATACACGAAAATTGGAATGTTTTGAGTCTAACCAGACACTTATTAGTAAAGAAGAAAATAATATTAAAAACAAAATTTTAGCTTGGGAAAAGTTATCTAAAACAGGAATATCTAAGTATTCAGAGATGTCCGAATTTAGTGCATTCGGAGAGAGCCACTCTAATCCTGAGATTGAAAACAATTGCATGAAAATGAACAAATCTAATGTGGAAAAGACAATACAGCAAAATAGTTCAATAACTGTTGATCCAGAAAGTTTTATACCAGATGCGAGCGAAGAAACTAAAATACGTGCGGGATTCGCTGTTACGCGAGTCTCGCCAAAAATTGCGAATCTTCAGGCTACCATTTTACAGAAGCTCAAAGAAGACTAATAATTTCAATATTCAGTAGTTCTGGAGGTTCGCAAAATATTAAGAACTGATGTCATCTTGAAACATGAAAGGTAAGACAAAATTAATGAAAAGTGATCAAAGGATTATAATTATTATCAGAGAATATGTGAGTTCTTTTGTATAATTTATATATGTGTACAATTTAATTAAGCAAGGATAATTATTTTGATATATCAGGAGTTTCACAATTTTAGAAAATGTTTGGTTTCAAGTACACTTCAAAATTTTCTAATTAATGATTTACTATAAAGTCGAAATATTACATATTGTAATATTAGGATAATAAAAATGTAAGTTGTGATATATTTTGAACAGTAGTAAATCACAACAACAAAATTTTATTAATTATTAACAACTCTATTAATTATTTATTAACTAGAATTATTGTTAATTTACAATTAATTAAAATAATAGTTTCTGTTAGGAAACATGGATCCTTTCGTCATAACTGACATAATAAAATAAATTTAATCAAATTAAGTTTTTATTCATCAATTATCACAATTTAATGCATTATTCAAGAGTTTAATTGTAAAGATTTGTCCTTTCTCAAAATAATATAGCGAGTAAAGTTTTTAGAATATATGTTAAAATTTTAAAATAATAAATTAATATATGAATTCCAATATACATATGTTGTATAAATAAAATTATATATTTTTACTTAGCTCGTATATGAGATAACTACCAGCTGTGCACGTCTCGTAGGATAAGTCGTCACACGCAATGCAAAAAAGGACGCAATGCATCAACGATTTAATGCGTAGAACAACAACTCCAAGTAATGAAAAGTATAGACTGCCGTCGTCCTTACAAAACTATATATTTAGAGAAGACTTTAGCAAATATTGTAAGGCTGAAATGCATCTCAATAATAGTGATTTAGAGTTGAAGTGAAATTCATATCAAAGTCTTTGAAATATCTACATTGGTAGATCACACACTATATATATCTGTGAGTAATTATAAAATCGCGTATAGGAACACGTAAGAGAACTGAAAATTGCTGAGAATTGATTTTGAATCAATTGCTCACAAGAATATGGAACTATTAAGGTAATGTATCTTTATAATTCTAACAATTATTTAAAATATTTAATCTTAAAGGACCATAAGAAACATTGTTTAGAAAGCAATGATATTGGGTCTATAATAAATGGAGAGACATATAAGCTAGTCGATCGTTATACATGCATTAATCAGTATTCGATTAACAACGAATGTTTGAAAGCAGATGAAAGCTGTAGGAATCGAAATTTTTTAAATAATACTGCTGTGAACTTTTTCAGCATGACAAACCTTCGTTGAATGAGTAACTAACTTGACGAAATACTAACTAAAAATGTAGTCAATGTCAATAAAACGATGTCGCAAAAAGTCACTAAGAAATAAAAAACGATGTCTTCAGGGCTTTACTAAGGAAATATGACCAAAAGTTATTTCTCTAAGGAAATTTCGGTATTATGTATTACGATAATTGATCAATTACTTAAAAATGTATAAAATAAATCAAATTTCGGACAATAAAATTGATTTATCAAGCACTAAGTCATCTAACCAGCCGGAATCAATATTTATTAGCTTTACCGAGTTTTGAGAAACTTACACAAACCCCGTATAAAGATCACTTCTTAAATACGTCATCTACGGAAGAGATAAAAAAGAACATCCACAAAACAAGTCACAATATCTTTTATAAGAAAACCTTTGACTTCGATTGCTTAAGGTAACTAATAGATTTTGATTTGTCGCTTACGCGATTTAACAGTTTAAATATATTTTCGACAGTTGACGTCTGGAATGATGTATGTGTTTTAACTGGAATATGAAACAAATACGTCAATATTAAAAGCTATGTATGAAGATTTTACTAGACAACTTTACTAGATGCAAAACATCCAACAGTTTCAACAATGACAGGTAATACTGTCATTAAATATATGCAAGTCAGGTTTAAATTAAAAATTTTTTGCAGCTAAGTGACATATCTTATTTTTAAGGTGACTTATGAATCGCCTTTATACCTACAATGAGGTATAAAGTTAAGGTTTTTTCTGAGCTTGAATTTTGTGACAAAAAAAAAAACACGTCTTCTGTAAATAACATTAAGCTAAATGCCATATCCTGGGTTAGTTTTATAATAAAAATATGTTAATAATAAACTCATACCATTTATTATATAGGTTATAGTCGAAAACATACAAATGGGACATAAGAAGATAATCGATTTATAGGGACTAAAACCAAGCGATAGATCAATGCAGAATGAACCATTAAAAGCATGAGGTATAGTGTTTGAGTTCTATGTATATAAAAGGAGTATATCGATCTTACTTAAAACCTGTCTTCTGTAAATAACATTAACCTGAATGCCATATCCTGGGTAAGTTTTATAATAAAAATATGTTAATAATAAAATCATACCATTTATTATATAGGTTATAGACGAAAATATACAAATGGGACGTAAGAAGATAATCGATTTATAGGGACTAAAACCAAGCGATAGATCAATGCAAAATGAGCCACTAAAAGCATGAGGTATAGTGTTAGAGTTCTATGTAAGGGGTGTATTGATCTCACTTAATTAATTTAATAGTTTATGGAAAAAGTTTAATGGGTTTCGCATGGTTCCATCAGAGCTAGAGCCTAAAATCTATTTCTTTAATTCTGGTAAAAAAACACTTAGGAAACTGCATAATTAATAAATGTTACATATATCAACAAATTTGCCTTCTCTGTGTATATGATTTATTAAAACGCGCAAATACTTTATATAATAATATACTGAACAAATTTATATGTATCAGTATATATTTATAATAATTGCTGTATAAAAACTGAAGATTTTTAGTAGACTCATTCAAAAACTATGACAACAATTCACATTTTCATATATTGGATGGAATTTAAAACTGATTTCATAAGTTTAACTATAGAAATATAAGTTTATAGGTTTACAACAAATACTTGACACATCTTGATTCACTTTAAATAAAGTGGTTCATCGCTATCTTAATATCACCATATTAAAAAGAAAAGAAGCAATGTGTTTCATTTAATAAGATGAGAAGCTTAAGAACCATCATAGAGTTTTGTCGACGTCAGCAAACCAAAGAAATTAAAGGTACCATAGTTTTTAGTTCATTAGTTTAGTTAATTTCAATTAATTAATTTTAGTTATTAATTAGTTTTTCGTGTTTCAAAAAAATTTTTTTTTAAAAAATAAAAAAAAGTTTTTTTTGTTCATTTTATATTATATTAAATAATAAAATTTTTGGCTGACCATACAGCTGTATCGAGTATTGCCAAATACCCATTGTCAGTGGTCTACGAAATAATTCTTGTTCATAAATTATACGTAAATAATTTTTTTAGAGGTTGCAAACACTAGGAATTGAACTCGTGCCTGCCAAATTTGAAGCTCAGAGTCAGCGCTCCCTAAACAGCTGACCCAAAGCCGTACTTGACTTGTTTGTTCTAATGTGGAGTTTTGTTAATTTGCTGTGAAAGTTTTATTAACGACTTCACTTACTGTGTTTATATATTGGAACGACATCATTAACAAGCTGTAAAATAATTGAATTAATTAAATATATTTTTATATTTAATTATTATTATGTTGAGGGAAGTTGAATCAGTGCACCTGAGCACTTTTACTCTATATTAACTGCGAGGTTTCTTCAAAACCCCTCTTTGCGCCTTGACTGGATTATTATTTATCACATCATTAGACTAAGTAATAATTGACCTCAGATCTGCATACCTCCCCGAGGAGCCTGTAACCTGTATATTTAATTGTTTTAATTATTTAAATTGGATTAAAAATGTTTTATAAAACCATCAAAAGTGAAATTAATTGTTAAATTCTGTTTGTGGAGGATGATTTATGTATTCCTTATTATGTATAGAACCTAATCTAGCAAAGTAATACTGAGAAAGTCATGGTAATGTTACTCCACGAGTCTCACGGGTGAGACCAATATTTTGTGAGTATATATGGTATATGTATTATATATTCACAAAATAAATAATAAAAATAATGTTCATTTTTTCTTGCCGAGGGTAACACCTCTTTATGACGAAAAGAAACTATTTAAAAGTTAGACCTATTCAAAATTTATTGAAATTCGATTATTTTCTAAGATTACTGATGTTGAGTACTTGACAATACTCGAAACAGCGTTGTATGATCTGAAAAATTTCAATAAATTAAAATAAATTTTTGTTCTTGTCTTTTCTTTGCTATTCGAATCGATCTAACTTTTAGTAAAAATAATTTATTTTATCATAATTTTGAAATATATTATTAAAACGAGTACGAGTGTCTTATCTACACTTCAACTTCAACTTAAAAGTTACAGATACGTCTGCTTTAATACATGAGCAATATATTCCTCCTTAATTGTAAGTGAGAAAATGTTGTTTAAGTTTTATGAGCTATTGTTGTTGTCAATTTGAGTGTATATACATACATAAAACAAAAAAAAAATATTTTAATAAAAGTAAAAAAAAAATCGAGACTAAAAAACTGAATAAAAAACTGACTAAAAACACTTGGCAGCAATTTCACAGCTTTTCTATTTTTTATGAAAACATTTTAACACGAATTGTAAATAACAACAACAACAAACACAACAGCAAACTGCAAAAACAAAGTAAAAACAATAGAGCAAAACTTTTTTAAAAAACACCAGGAAGAAGAAGTGCAAAAATATTGGCCGAAATAAAAACAAGTGTCATTTTTTATGACACTTAAATAAGAACAACAATAACAACACGAAACTATGTTAAAAAAGAGGAGAAAAAAATAAAAAAATAAAAAAGAAACTATAAATAAAAACAAAAACAACACCGTCAAAACAAAATCAAACAAAACAAAACAACAAAACGAAATGAAACGAAACGAAAAACCAAAAAAGAGAACACAGAACACAGAACAACTTGAACACAAGGAATGGTAAAAACGGCAAGGATATTAGAAGAAAATCTTATGAAATTGCTAAAGTTTATATTGTATAAGTTAGCGCACAGCATTTGCTGGCTGGCTAAGTAGACGTTGCGGAAACGGAAACGGACATAAGACATTTCGACGCTACAAGGTTATTTGTCCGTGTGGTAAGCCTCACAGCAGATGAGTGATTGGCGAAACGTTTTTCATAGTTTTTTATTTCCAAACTTTTGTGGTGTTTTTATTTTCTGTAAGCAAAGGAAGCAGCTATTTTCCTGCCATAATTTATTTAAGGAATAAGCAACCATATTTTTGGTGGATTTTATATGTTTGCAAATATATCTGTATATATATATAATGTATATATGATACATCTACATATTTATAAATATAATCTTATATATATGTTTGTGCGTTTTTTGTAAGTTATTTTATTTTGTTTTTATCTTTGCTTCCTTTTATTGCCAACATTTTTATATGTGAGCAGGTCATGAAATAAAGCAGCGCAACAGTGTCTCGGTAACTTGATGAGATTGTATCGCCGGCCTACATGTAAGCACAGATCCTTGGTAATTCATTTTGTCTAGATTAAATGTAGCCAATTGGAAACAAAGTTTTTTTATTTAAGTTCATTTTAAATTTAAGTTCACTATATAAACTTTTCACAGGTAGCTTACTTATAAATAAAAAGCAAAAAAAAAAACAAATAATTAATAATAATTAAATTGCATTTAATATGACGTCATTAATATAAAGTTAATATCGCAATAAAATATCACTGTGTGTGAAAGAAAAAAAATGCATATTTAACATTGCTGAAAAGTATTTGAAAAATTGATTTTCTTCTAAACATCTTTAAATTTTTTTGTTGTTTGTTTTTTGTGGCAAAGAGGAGTGGTGCGCCGGACTCGCTCGGACTAAACCACTCCCCCTCATTCCTAGAGACCTTGTCCTACCCCGAGACTACGTTAGTATTACTAGGAGATAGAGTCCCTATTAATCTTTTAAGACTTCCAACGGTGTGACCTGCGTCCAGGCCCCGCCTGCTATGGCCGCAGGTGATTAACCTTTCCTTTTATCTTGGTGCGATATATCCCGGACTAAACCACTCCCCCTCATTCCTAGAGACCTTGTCCTACCCCGAGACTACGTTAGTATTACTAGGAGATAGAGTACCTATTAATCTTTTAAGACTTCCAACGGTGTGACCTGCGTCCAGGCCCCGCCTGCTATGGCCGCAGGTGATTAACCTTTCCCTTTATCTTGGTGCGATATATTTGCTTACTCCAGTTGTCTTCTGTCAAGGTCTACTATTTTTAATCTCAGAATCTTTTCAGCAAGCATTGCTATGTGAATCCAATTTGACATATTTTGGATCTTGCGCTGCTAGCTTCTCTTATGACAAAGAATGTGCGATCTACAATATCGTTTCCAGCTCTGCAATATATGCAGTTTCGTGTCTATACTTTGCACGTGCGGTAGATGTAGCTGTTGAAATATTCATAACCAGATAGGAACTGAGTGAGGTAGTAGTTGACGTCGCCGAACTACCTTGACAACATCCACAGATATTTGAGTCCTAACGTCGCAGCCATACTGCTATGGCCTGGCGTCTTATCGACTGTGTGTCAATATTGTTATAAAAACGTTCAACCTAGTCAGAAAGGTTCTGATGTAAGTGTATAAAATATGGATTATATCGCACAGAGTGCATTTTCTTGACCTAAGATCCGGGAAGCGTAATTGCTAATTGCTTGACTTTGAGAAATTCAAATATTATTGATGATAATAATAAAAATAAAACATATAAATAACAACAACAAAAGTAATAGTAGATCTCAATCTTAATCCCAGAGAATATGTGGTCACAGATATGTTGATAGTAGTACCAATAAAAAATGGCAACATAATCAGATATGGTTCAAACCCCACAGAGCAGATTTTCTTGATCTAAGAACTGTGAAGCGTAAATGCCAGTTCATTGATTGTCAGAAATTATAAATTATCATCATCAGTTCTTGCATCTCCCACTGAAGTACAGGTTCTAAAAATTTTAATAATAATAGTAATAGTGATAATAAAAATAAAGTTGATTAAATTATAAATTATCGTCATCATCAGTTCGTGTATCTCTCGCTGTAGCATAGGGTTTTAAAATTTTAATAATAATAATAATAATAATAGTGATAATAATAATAAAGTTGCTTGAATTATGTTTTGTACAATGATTTAATAAGTAGAAACTACTCTCGTTTAATTAATATCTTATTTTCCATAACAAAGATTTATTATTATTAAAAACATTTACTTTATTTTCAATGCTCTTTACTCAACTTGACTCAATTTAGTGCCATAAAATTTGTACAGGACCAGTAAACAATGTAAACGAATGAAAAATGATAGAATAAAGGAACTTGAGACGACTTGTTAGCTTTTATTAAAACTCATTTTTGTTCTTATTATCTTTAAAGGAAATTTATTGAATTTGTGTTCTCTTTGTCTTAATTGAGCTTTGAATTAAAGCCTTGAAATAAAACTTTACAACAGTTAACCATAGTAAAACGAAAAAAAAAAAAAACATAAAACTCAACAGAAGTGTAATTTGTTTTATTAGAAATTGCTAAGCAGCACAAATGATAAAAAGGAACATCCTTAATGCTTATACATAAGCAGTACCATTAAAAGTTAATTAAAGATGACGTTGCCAAAAAATTTAAAGGAAATCACTTTTTAATTTCCGT